GTCCGCTGCAAATCTCTGCTAACTACCAGAGCTTGCTGCCAGTGCCGCCCTTATCTCGAAGGCAAGCATGACTTTGAAAACCGGACTGACAATGGATGTGTACCCGGCCGCAGGCAATGATTGCTTTGCTGCAGGTGTGTGCATCGGGCCTCATAGAAACCATGCGTACAAAAGCAGGAACAGCAACCAGGTTCAGGTTTCGGATGCTAAGCTTGTAGCTGACAAATGTTGCGTCTCATTTCCAGCAGAATCCATGACACCATCGCCTGCAGCCGACTTCTCACCAGCATTGTTTTTCGTTTGCCTGTGAGGTCTCAGCCCAGTTCGTCTCTACTTGGCAAGCCTCAGCCCCGGGAGTCAGGACCGGTACTTTCTGCCACGCAGGGCTGAAGTGCATCCCTCAGGCCAATACTAAGCCACCAGGTTGGGCACGACAGCCGAGCAGTGCATCTCATGCAAAATGGAAATCACCTGAACTCGCATCTCGGTACCAAACTTGCAAGAAGCTTTGCCGTTGCCTCTTTCCAGCGCCGTGCACGCTGAAGGGATGTTAGAACATTGCCATAAACGGATGCTGCGACCTGCACAAAAGGGCAGGAGCTCTACCACGATTAAGGCAACCAGCCGTTTCCCACACCTGACCACCAGACCTGCGAGCTTTGTCCAACATTCTGACCGAGAACCTGAAGCTTTCATAAATTCTTCAAGCGAAGCGGAGTCTGGCTGCACTTCGTGATGTCAAAACGACGCTGTTGCATTCACCAAGCAGTCTCAACACAGTCGTTGAAGTGCACATGTTCTCTCCGGGCTACTTACCGCAAGAATCCTCTCCGTTTGCTGCAAAGTCTGCAACGCATGTGCACTGATGCGTAGCTCCACGAATTCCCAAGGCAGCTGCGAGCTCCGGCCCTGCTGCGCATGCCTCGTGGCGAGTATGACAGGTCTCCATGGAAGCCTGCCAGGTTGGCCCTAGACGAGCAGGTCACAGTCCCCAGGTTGCAAATGTCGAAGCACGAGTCCTGCCTTCTGAGACTTTGCCCCAACATCGCGCGAGGCCCCAGCCTGCAAAGCCAGGGAAGCTCTGAGCTCGTCCAGGTAAGCAACTGCGTCCGCCTGCCCTCGGAGCTCTCGCACAATCCGCATAGCACGCTCTGGTGTAGTCATCAGACCTGAGCAGCAAATCGGCATGGTCGAAGAAACGCTTCCATTTTCAATGTGATGCAAAGAATGGAGAGAAATCTCAAATCAAATGTTTTACCTGCGTCACACTGCGCAGCAATCGGCTTGAGGACTCAAAAAGAAGCTCCATCCGACGGAGCTCGACTCACTTCCCGTTCTGTCTCTGGATGTAGCAGGCAATGTGCATAAAGAAAGAGATGGGGAGCAAGAAGGACTCCACGATGTAAGAGACGTTGAAGAAGCCACCTGCGTCAACCTTCGCCCACTGGGGGTCGTAGAAGTTGAACCTCAGCGTAAAAGAGCACGCTCATGCACCCTTG